AATAGAAATAATTTTGAGATTATCTGTGCTTTTGTTTCCCTGGTTTTCTTTGAACCTCATTTTCTCAAGCTATGAAGTAAAATGAAGTGATAAGTATGTGTATAAGTAGGACACTCAGGGTGAATCCAAAGGAACTTGTGCATTTGACCAAAAAAAAAAAAATTCCTAAATTTAAATCAGGAGTAATAAATTCAATTTAAGTTTTTGGAGGGGGTTACAGAGTATGTGTTTTGAGAAGGCAGTTTACAGATGATGCCTGCTCTCCCTTTGGCAGCTTATTAAGGAATGTAGTAGTTTTTCAGCATTTCCCAGCTCCCTGTCACAGTCAATCAATAGTACTTATTTTAAAGTGGGATTGTCGTTGGGATTGCAGGTAAGAATCAATTTTTTTGTTCCTTCCCACACATTTTAATAGACCTCAAAAATAGAATGGGGGGAGAACTGATAGAGAAACAAAGAATTTTAAGTACAGAAAGCACAACTAGAATAATAATAGAATAACAAGAATAAAAGAGGAAGTAATATGCTCTTCATTCTCAATTTAGCATTTATTTGCACCTCACCAAATGTAGAGCATTGTATGAGAAGTGGCAGACCAAAAAAGGGAGAAGTGAATGGATGGCATTAGGTATTGTGTGTTCCTCCCAGGAAGCTGACATTGTAATTAGGAAACCGACACATACACAACTGAAGGTGATTAGAGCACAAGTAAATGAGAGCTTTAATAGACTCGGAAATGACAATGAGTTCAAAGAAAAGAGAAGGATTAGGTTGCTGGGGTGGCCCTGGCTTCTTGCATGAGGTGATCTGGACTAGGAGTCTGATGACTAAGATTTTCATAACCATGGAAGTAGGGAGGGGCCTCCCAGGCCAGTATAACAGCCTGAGCAAAGATATGGACAGAAAATGCCAGTGATAGGTGTGGGGATGGTGAGTAGTAGGGATATAACTGGGACAGGCTTGTAAGTGACGTTTGGATAGCTCTTTGAATGCCATGCTCAAAGTCTTATATAATAAAAATAATGAAGAAATAAATGACTTTAGTTATCTGTAACAATGGAGACAATTAGATCCAGGACCAATAAAAAAGTCTTAACTTCAATAACTTCAGTCCACATACACAATCATATTAGAGATTTATATTCTTTTTGTTTTTGTTTTTTTTTGAGACAGAGTCTCTCTGTCACCCATGCTGGAGTGCAGTGGCACAGTCTCAGCTCACTGTGACCTCTGCCTTTCCAATGATCCTCCTGCCTTACCTTCCCAAGTAGCTGGGACTACAAGCATGCACCACTACACCTGACTAATTTTTGTATTTTTTGTAGAGATGGGGTTACACCATGTTGCCCAGGCTGGTTACTGAACTCCTGAGCTCAAGTGATCTGCCCATCTTGGCCTCCCAAAGTGCTGGGATTGCAGGCATGAGCCACCGTGCCTGGCCAGCAGGTTTCTATTCTTGATGCTTGGACCTTGATGCTTTATATTCCCCTTGGTTTATTGTAGTTTATGGCTTTGGAAGCCAGCAAGGAGTTGGAGAAGGACAGAGAAAAGGGCACTACTGATACACTATTCATGAACAATTGAGAATATAAGATAAAGTACACAATAGAAAAGTTGGGAAAATAGTGTTATAAGAAGGAAAGGGTTGACATAAAATGTTCTTTTATCTTTTGAATTTTTAGGTATCTGTTGACAATTTGGTTCATTTTTTTTTTCCTGCCAGTGACCTGCTTATCCAGCTTCACATTTGGATTAGTGTATGACACATACAACATATGTTGGTACCAGCACGTGGTATGAGAATCCTAAAGTAGTGTCTGTTGTACACGTAACTGATTTATTTAAAGGAATGCTGCTGAAGCGCCAGGGAGAACATTTGCAGCTCTAGTTGTGTAAATCTAGTTCTAGGGTCATATTTTTAATTCTTAGGAGATTTGAATATATATTTTCACATAAAGTAAATTTTTTTTTTCTCGAGGCGGGGTCTCACTCTGTCACCCAAGCTGGAGTGCAGTGGTATGATCATGGCTCACTGCAGCCTTGACCTCCCCAGCCTCAGTTAATCTTCCTACCTCAGCCTTCCTAGTAGCTGGGACTACAAGCCAATTTTTGTATTTTTTGTAGAGATGAGATTTCACCATGTAGCCCAGGCTGGTCTCAAACTCCTGGGCCCAAGTGATCTGCCTGCCTTAGCCTCCCATAGTGTTGAGTTTACAGGTGTGAGCCATGGCACCTGGACGAATTCACCTTTTGAAAGTATACAATTCATTGGTGTTTACAGTATATTCACAGAGTTGTACAACCATCACTGCTGCCTAATTCCAGAATATTTTTTATTAACCACCCCCCAAAAAAACTCCATACTCATTAGCAGTCATTCCTCCTTTACCTACCACCACCCCTGCCCCATCCCTTACCAACCATGAATCTACTGTCTCCATATTTGCCTATTCTGAACATTTTATATAAGTGGAATCATACAGTTGGTAGCCTTTTGTTCTGACTTCCTTCACTTAGTATAATCTGAGGTTTATCTATGTTACAGCATTGCATGGATGTATGCCACATTTTACTTACCCATTCAATTAATGGACTTTTTTTTCGTTTTAGGAGAAGGTGGTTTGATAAATAGTATGGTTATGATTTTTTTTGGTGCAATCTAAAACATTGACAATTCAGAAATGTGTGGACATTTTTGTAATTGTATAGTACATGCCCATGTACTGTGAGTTTTTTAGAGAGCATGTTTTATTTTTATTAGTCATAGTAGGCATGTCAGCTACAGAATTTCTTATGGTAAATGGTAGAGGCCCGCACAAGGTGGTTAGGAGTGCTGAGGATGGGAGTTCAGTTGGAGAAGTCCAGTAGGTGTTCAGGAGGAGGTGAGGTCTAGCTGCATCTACATGGGTGACTAGGAGTTAGACAGGTAAAGGGCCAGGGATTTGAAGGTGAACAAGGTAAAGCATGAAGTCATATAGTAAATATCTTACTGGAGGATCAAATGTGGGGGACAATCACCCCAATTTCCAGTTGTAAGCCCAGCTGACACTGTTAGTAGTGGAGAGGGATCATAGCAGCATCCATCCCAGCTTGTCCACGGCTTCCTCCCCCGCTCACCCACAGCCATTCTCCCATTGCATCCAGTTAGCTTTCTGGACTCCGTATCTGAGCAGGTCACCCACTGCTGAAGCTATTTCAGAGGCTCCCCATCATTCCTACAGGCAGAAATCCTTCCTGTGCCTTCTATACCCCTCCCTGCTCCAGGGCCTCTTCCTTCAGTCCCGTCTTTGTAGCATACTCTTCACTCTCCTGCCTCCAGGTGCTTGGGCCTACCTTGAGTTCTCCCAGTTCATGCCAGGGCCAGACTTCTTTGTCAGGGCCTTGGTATGCATTGGTTCCGCTTTCTGGTTCCACCTCTCTCCTCCTTTCTCATAGTTTTCTCTTGCTCCTGGTGAGCTTAGCCTGTGGTCAAACCTACTTCCCCTGGGTCAAATCCTCCTCCAGTGAAATCAGACTTTGGTGAGGGCTGTGTTCTCATGGCAGCACATGGCTAAAATGATCATGGAGACATTGTTTTGGATGATGTCACACTAGAAACCGATGTACAGTCTCACATTAACACAGTGTAACACAGCCTGGTTTTCCTCTGGTATTGGAAGTTACCTCTTTCTCCTTCACTTTAGCTCAGCAAGTGAAATAGTTGGCTTGTGTTACAGGATCGTGTTTGCAAGTAAATTAAGGCCCCCATGTGCCTGGACTCTCATGGACTCAGACAGCTCGTAAGATACTGGCACAGGGAACCTGAGTCTGATTGAGAGAGCCCCAGGTTTACACATTGTGCCTCCCACTCACTGAGGGAGATGGTGGGCAGAATCCCTTGCAGTGTTTTAAATTGTTCTTTGATTTTTGGCTGAATGTGAATTGTTGTACTTTATACCATATACCTCTCATTTTGTGAGGTACAGTTGTGACTTAAATCCATTTTTGTATGGATGTCACCCTCACCCAACTACAAACTCTACAAACTTGGGACTGTGTATATGGCTTGTATCCTCAGAGTCTAGCTCATACTAAGGCACTCACTAAATAACTTGTTGAAAACTTGCTTTCCCAATCATTCTACCAAATAGTAAGCTTCTGCAAAATTTGACTCATTTCATGTAAAACATGTTTTAAATTACTTAAACTCTAATAAAACATAGACACTCACATGTGCTTTATGCTACATGTCAGTAGATTGGAGATTACTTGTTCTGTCAGGTTAACTTGTTCTTGAGCAGATTTTGAAATAAAGCAAGCGGTTGAGTCTTATCATTTGCAATTGCTTATTTTCATTCTGCTTGCAGCAACAACAGTAGCACTTCAGAAATAGATGGAAAGGCAGTTGGGATTGACCTAGCCTAGTGGGTTAAATGCCTGGACTTTAGAGTCAGTCTGCCGTGTTCATATCCTACTCCCACCTTTTACTAGGTGTGTGACCTTGAGCATATATGTAATCTCTCTGAGTCAGTATCCTCATGTGTAGTAGCCAGGTACTAAGAGGCTTGTATAAGGAATAAACAATGTTGTAGAGCTCATAACATTCAGGGCTCAATGCTAGCTGCTATTGTTGTTGTTTCATCTTCAACCCCAAATATCAGGATTTTGAAGAGTCTCATTTTATTATTGATTGAATTTATAAGTTAAGGACTGCTAAATATAAGTCCCACAAAAATGCCCTTTGCTTTAAAAAGTGGTGGGTGGGGAGGGTGGTTGAAACCATTGGTTCAGATCAATAGAGGCTAGTACTTCAGCACAGTTCCACGTAGTGATCACTGGGAAACCTTCACATTGAATTTGATCTCTAGGACTAGGATCCTTCAGCTTTCTAGTGCAGGCCTCTATCATCCTCTGATTTGTTCTGCCCATTGCTCTTACTGAAGGTGGTTTGAGACATGGCCATTAAAAGAACCTATCTGTAAAACTGCCAGCGAAGCCTTCTTCATGTATTCATTTCACAGACACTTTTGCACTCCTATAATGAGCCTGGCACTGTGATGAAACGCTTTTCCTCTGTCGTTTGAGTGCATCTTCTCAACAACCCTAGGAGGTAGGTACTGCTGTCACTGTTGTTCCCATGAGGCTTCAGGATGTTAAATAGCTTGTTCATGGGACTGTGCTCATGGCATTTGGTACCAGGAACAAGTTCTCTTTTCTGACAATGTGCTTTGATTTGCACAGAAACAAGAGTTTTCATTTTTGCCTTGGCTGCCCGAAAGCTGAGCTACCTTTAGCCTTAGCCTGACCTTTCCTGTATTATGTTGGTGTCCCTCCCTCATGTGGCCCTTTTTTGTCTTCTCTGTTGTGTTATCCTCATTTTATTCTCAGGACTGTGACTCATTCTGAGCCACCCAAAAATTGGGCAAGTTTTGAAGAATGAATGAAATATTATACATTTCCTCTTGATATAATTTCATAGCTATCTCTGCATGTGAAACTTAGAAAAGAAGATGGGTAGATGAAAAACTTTTTGAAAAATGCAATGATTAAAGTAGAATATTTGATGGTAGGACTTTTTTAGGCTGAGAAAGGTCATGGAACAGTAGTCAGGCTTTTCTTTTAAGTTAAGAATCTGGCTGCTAATAGAAGTCAGATACTGTATTTTAACATTTTAATTCTTAATTTTACTTTTAAAATTATGAAAACATACTGCTAAACTGAGCTTTCAATTTTTTTCTTTGTAGATAATGTCGTTTGAACAACTAAGGTAAAATTTATGACCTATGTGATATGCTTTTCTTATTCAGATTTCTTTCTTTTTTCTTTTTTTTTTTTTAAGACAGAGTCTTGCTCTGTCATTCAGGCTAGAGTGTGGTGCCATGATCTTCGGTCACTGCAACCTCTGCCTCTCAGGTTCAGGTGATTCTCATGCCTCAGCCTCCTGAGTAGCTGGGATGACAGGCATGCATTACCACGCCCAGCTAACTTTTGTATTTTTAGTAGAGATGGGGTCTCACCATGTTGGCCAGGTTGGTGTCTAACTCCTGACCTCAAGTGATCTGCCTGCCTCGGCTTCCCAAAGTGCTAGGATTACAGGCGTGAGCCTCTGCGCCTGGCCTCTTACTCAGATTTCTTTATAGAATTTAGCAGAATTACTAATGTTTTAACCTTGGTGAAAATTGTTTGCCTTCGGACAGTCATTTCAAACTGAAGTATAAGAGACTTCACATTACCTTTTTAGGCAAATTTTGAAAATAACATAGTAGGATCCCTTCATTTATTTAACTTGTGCTAAAGAAATTTCAAAGGATTTTACTGTTTTTAAAGAAAAAATAATGTTTTTAATGTCCATAAGCTGAATGTGGTTGTATTAATGTCTAGATCGAATGAAACTGGCTTTTCTTAGATGTCATTGGTAAATAAGATGGTGTGTACAATTATTTATATCACCCTGTGTATTTGTATACAACTCTAGTTAGGATCAGAGAGATATTCATGTAGAAATTAATTATTTTAGCAAATGCCAATATATTCCCAAATAGGAATATCTGGTAGGCCCCAAACTGTAGTTGGGAAATGTAAAAAGTTGTACCCTATACTCTGTTTCTTGGTGGGTCTAGCATACCCCAAATTCATTTGGTCAGAATGAGACAAACTAGGAGGTCCCATGTTATTATGAAAAAAAGAAAAGAACTATCAAAGTGTTTTGATAAAATTATAAATTACAACTTTCAAGGAATTTCTAAAACTTAATTTAGTAGATGTATGCAATCAGTAGTCTGGGTGGGGTTTGTTAGATTGCATGATCTGGTTTATAATTTGATACACAGATGCTAAAAATTCAGTGATGTAAAATAAAACTTTGTGTCTGCTAAGGCTGTTAGATCAGTAGAGACTTGTTAAAATACTGGAATGATGTCTGTTGCACTCTCATAACACAGCATGGAAATTGTGTGAAACAAACGACATTGGGAGAGCTGCTGGGGCAGGGTTCCCAGTGGAGGTGATGACCCTGCTGAGCAGTTCTGAAGGCGCAGTAGTTCATTGGGGTGTTACCAGCAAGGAGTAGCATATGCCAGGGTGGAGGCAAGAGTGTGTGGGGTATGCTGAGCGAGTGGAATTGAATTTCAGTTCCATGTTATGGTGCATTTAGAATGACTGAAGCCGAGACTGTGACGGGGAGGTGGCTAGAGTGAGACTGGCCAAGAGCAGGGGCCAGGTGTCTTGCCTTCGAAGTTGGACTTGGTCCTAGATCTCTGGGAAATAACCCACTGAAGAATTCTGAGGAGACATTAGATAGATGCTTCCCCTATGTCAAAATAGTTGGTTTGCTTTTATGGTTTTCAATCTTTTCTCTTTAAGGTGAAGTTGTTGAAACAAGATGCCAAAGAATTAAAGCAGCCAATTTAGCACGTTGTTACCTATGTCAGGAAAGTAAGGGGCTTGGGACTGTTTCAGTTTCCTCTTTAACACTCATTTAGTCTGGATATTGAGTAGAGCAATACATTTGAAATTGAAAAAGTCTCTCAAAAGGTATGCACCTTAACTGGCACACACTTGTCTTGGACAGTTTAAATTGTATTAATATTAATTATAGTAGTAATTACTGTAGTAGTGATTTGTTTTGTTTTTTTGAGACAGAGTCTTGCTGTCACCCAAGCAGAAGTGCAGCAGCATAATATCAGCTCACTGCATCCTCCATTTCCCAGGTTCAAGAGGTTCTCCTGCTTCAGCCTCCCGATTATTTGGGACTACAGGCACACACCACCATGTCCAGTTAATTTTTTTTTTTTTTTTTGGATTTTTAGTAGAGACAGGGTTTCACCATGTTGGCCAGGCTGGTCTTAAACTCCTGACCTCAAGTGACCTGCCTGCCTCAGCCTCCCAAAGTGATGGGATTACAGACGTGAGCCACTGCACCTGGCCTGTAGTAGTAATTTGTAAGAACCAGTAAGAGGTAAGGACTAGGGTATATCCCATCATTTTAAAATAATATTTTCCCATTCACTTGATTTCTCACTATACAAGCTGCTACAAGGTTTTATCAGAACAGTGGAGTGTGTAGTTAGAAATGCGGAATTCCAGGCTGGGCATGGTGGCTCACACCTGTAATCCTAGCACTTTGGGAGGCCGAGGCAGGCGAATCACGAGGTGAAGAGATTGAGACCATCCTGGCTAACATGGTGAAACCCTGTCTCTACTAAAAATACAAAAATTAGCTGGGGGTGGTGGTGCCTGCCTGTAGTCCTAACTACTCGGGAGGCCGAGGCAGGAGAATCGCTTAAACCAGGGAGGTGGAGGTTGCAGTGAGCTGAGATTGCGCCACTGCAGTCCAGCCTGGCGACAGAGCGAGACTCCATCCCCCTGCCCCCACAAAAGGCAGAATTCCTACATGTTACCAGAAGTGTTCAATTGCACTGTAGTGGCTCACGTTGCTTATAACCAGGAGACAGCCAGATAATGTTTATTGCAGTGATTTTACAAATTCATCCTTGTCAGTGTAACAATTATGGTTCATGTCTTTATTGCCTTCCCATTGAGGGTTTCATAATACCTACTTTCCTATTAAGGTTAATTACTAAATTTGCTCTAGAGCTGTGCTCTCCAGCACAGCAATTGGCTCATTAAATGTGGCTATTTAGTTAAAATTGAATAAAATTTAAAATGCAGTTTTTCCCTTCCATCAGCCAAGTGTTCCCTTTCTTCATGTCAAGTGTTCAACAGTCATATGCAGCTAAGTGGCTGCTATATTGGACATTTCCATTGTTGCGTAAAATTCTCTTGGACAATGCTGCTCTAATGGTTATCTTCTTATATACATTTTAGTATACTTAAAAGCCATTTAATGCCAAAGTATTTACAGATTCAATGATATAATCTGATTTGAAATTGGGGAGAAGGGAGAATTGGAGGGGTTATGGAGGAAACAAGGTTTGCCATAAGTTGATAATTGGTGAAGCTGGGTTTAGAGTTCATTGGAGCTCACTATATTGTATTCATTGTATAGAAATTTTGTATATGTTTTAAATTTTCCACAATAAAAATGTAAACTGAAGGATTAACCAGGAACTGTGCTCCCACCAGCATCTAGAAGGAGATGTCTGTCAACAGGCATCTGAAATTTCACCCCCACAGGCTGGCTCTAGTAGTGTAGGAAAGTTTTTAATCCTGCCACAGGACTTCTAAAGAACACATATAGTACCACATTTTTGTTTACGGTTTATTTCATTCCACCTCAGAACACACAAGTAGTGGCACAGTCTAACGTTTGTTGAGTGTTTGAACTGCCCCAGTGAATCTTGTGGGTAGAATGTGCTAGATTATATTAAAATAAAACTTCCATTGCTGCTGACATTAATTTGAGCAAATTAAAAATAGTATTCTTAATGAAGAGAATAAAGTAGATTTACTCAGTGCTTGGTTTATATTTTATTTCACAGCCAGATAAGTCAGCTTCTGTCTCTGGCTTTCCTGGTTAACAGCACCTGTGTCTGAAGAGAGAAAGGGCAGGGGTGGAGGGAGTAGTAGAGAAAGTCCCTGGCACGAGAGAAGCCATCAGTGAACACCATCACTGTGCACTGAAGGACTGTTTGAAGTTGTTGAAGGAAACATGTGGGCCGGGCATGGTGGCTCACACCTGCAGTCCCAACACTTTGGGAGGCCAAGACAGGTGGATTGCTTGAGCCCAGGAGTTTGAAGCCAGCCTGGGCAACATGTTGAGACCCTGTCTCTACAAAAAGTAGGAAAATTAGCAAAGCATGGTGACGTGCACCTGTGGTTCCAGCCACTTGAGAGGCTGAGGTGGGAGGATTGCTTGAGCCTGGGAGTTCAAGGCTTCAGTAAGCCAAGATGGCCCCACTGCACTCCAACCTGGGCAACAGCAAGATCCTGTCTCCAAAAAAAAAAAAAAAAAAGAGAGAGAGAAGAAGAATAAAATAAAAGAAAAAAGAAAAGAAAACAAAAGAAACATGTGAACTTGCGAACTTTTGTCTCCTACACATCTCTAACAAATGGTGATAGGGCTTTTTATGAGCAGACAGGGGCATATCATAGAGGAACGGTTCAGAGCAAGGGCTTTTAGGGTCAGTCTTGGGCTTGAGTGCCAGCTTCACAGTCAGCTGTGACCTGAGAAAGGGGACTAGTGAGCCTTTCCCAGCCGCTTTAGAGAATAATGGTAGAATAGTGGCCCACACATGGCTAAGTGTGTATGGCTAATATAATAAGACTTCTTGTCTTATTATATTAGGTATTTCCTAGCTGTATGTTTTATTTCAGTTAAATGCTGGTATCATGTAGAATAATGTGTAGGTATAAAGGAACGTAATGGTGCCTTTTTATTTTACAGGGTTCTTGAAGCTCTTGTGATTAACAATGGCAGGAAAATCATCACTTTTTAAAGTAATTCTCCTTGGAGATGGTGGAGTTGGGAAGAGTTCACTTATGAACAGATATGTAACTAATAAGTTTGATACCCAGCTCTTCCATACAATAGGTGTGGAATTTTTAAATAAAGATTTGGAAGTGGATGGACATTTTGTTACCATGCAGATTTGGGACACGGCAGGTCAGGAGCGATTCCGAAGCCTGAGGACGCCATTTTACAGAGGTTCTGACTGCTGCCTGCTTACTTTTAGTGTCGACGATTCACAAAGCTTCCAGAACTTAAGTAACTGGAAGAAAGAATTCATCTATTACGCAGATGTGAAAGAGCCTGAGAGCTTTCCTTTTGTGATTTTGGGTAACAAGATTGACATAAGCGAACGGCAGGTGTCTACAGAAGAAGCCCAAGCTTGGTGCAGGGACAACGGCGACTATCCTTACTTCGAAACAAGTGCAAAAGATGCCACAAACGTGGCAGCAGCCTTTGAGGAAGCGGTTCGAAGAGTTCTTGCTACCGAGGATAGGTCAGATCACTTGATTCAGACAGACACAGTCAACCTTCACCGAAAGCCCAAGCCTAGCTCATCTTGCTGTTGATTGTTAGATTGTTGATGCATTCTAATCAACTCACACATATACACAAAATCAACATGGGGATGGAGAAGAGAATTAGCGTTTGCAGCAGTGTATCATCTACTAATAAAATTAAAGTAAATTGCTGCTTCATTAGTTGGTGGGAGAAGGGACACATCTACTCATGGAGGAATATATTTACTCAGTAATGGCACCTTCCATTTATAAATTGTAACGGTTGTCTAATAACATTTCTTTAATTTAAATACGTAAGTTGCAGAGCTAATAAATGAGATGACCAAGACTTTAATGATAATTAAAATAAGAAACTTGACTATTCTAGAAGTTATACTTGGATTTTTTTTTCCTGGGAAAATGGAGAACTACTTTTATATGTGTATGTTTTTATGCAATTAGCATTGTATTCTTGGTTCAGGGAAATAATTTCCTAAAGCAATAATGTTAGATATTAAAGATTAAAATCTAATGTATTTGCGATGCATTGTTAATTTCTTCATTCTCTTCAAAATGATTTAACCATTTCTATTTTCATTCTACATATTACTCTCACGAGTAATTACTTGTCATTTGTGTGCCATTCATGTGTCCCCACCCCCATAATTCATGTTTCACAGTCTCAGTCTCAGGCGGAGGGCAGGCCCCCAGAGGTACAAGAGTTACTTCATACAGTCTGTCGTACATCCAGCTAGATTCAAACTGTCAATGAATGGAAAGCTTTCCGTAGATAAGAGTTCAGTTTTAAGAAAAAGCCTAACTACTGAACTTGGAGAACAGACAAATGTGCATTTGATAACTGATGTAAAAATTACAACGTACTGTGTGGAAGATACAAAATTATAATTTGTTAATGGACTACTTAATATTTTTGTTACTTTCTTTACTCTTGGGAAAAGTCTCCTAGTTGAAGTTAAAACATTCCTTTTTAGCAGAAGACACAGCTAACTTTATCACTCTCAGAGGAAATACTAAGAAGGCTTGTACTTTGTGAGAGTAAATGAAGACATCTTTATTTGGCCATGTATTTACTTAGTGTCTTCTCTGTCATTGAACGTTGTTTAGTGATTTGCTGTCAAGGAGATTTTTTGTTCCAAAAAGACTTGCTGCAGTGATCAGACTTGATAAAGCAAATTGTGGTCTTTTGTGGATGAAGCTCATATGCTGTGTGGTTGATGAGTGTCTGATTCTGTGGAGCGTAACCAAAGCCTAGATTGAGTGTGGATGAGACCCTCAACTGGGGACTGTTGGGGTCATTAAAGGACATGCTGGGTGAGGGGAGCTGGCTGTCATGTAGTGAGGGGGGACTTTGAAAAATTAGATTGATATATTTCCTTTCCTGACCCCACCCATTGGAAACCAATGAGAAAACATTCTAGTAAGCTAAGCTTTTGAGTCTAATGTCCTAACATAAGAGATGATTTTGCCATCTGGTAGCATTCTACAGAAAATAATAGAAGTTAGTTGGAGAACAAAGCCGGTGTTAAGTGTGCCAGCAGGAGTGGTGAGAAGCAGCTGCAGAGCCTACTGGGCAGAACCATAGATCATGCTCCGCAGTCTGGGGGCGGGGGCGGATCGGGGGGTGCAGGGTGTGGGGTGTGGGTCCCAGTGCTTTAGGAGTTGCTCTATATGGTCTGTCATAGATCCAGTTAGGTTCAAGCTATGAATGGAAAGGCTTTTGAGAGATAGTTTTATTTATTTTTTCTTTTTTGAGGTATTGTCTCGGTCTGTTGCCCAGGCTGGAGTGCAGTGGCACAATCTTGGCTCACTGCAACCTCTGCCACCCAGGTTCAAGCAATTCTCCTGCCTCAGACTTCCCAAGTAGCAGGGACTACAGGCACATGCTGCCACGCCCGGGTAATGTTTGTATTTTAGTAGAGATGGAATTTTACTGTGTTGCCGAGGCTGGTCAAAAACTCCTGAGCCACTAGACCCAGTCCAGTTTTTTTTTTTTGAGATGGAGTCTCACTCTGTCACCCAGGCTGGAGTGCAGTGGCATGATCTCGGCTCACTGCAATCTCTGCCTCCCAGGATCAAGTGATTCTCCTGCCTCCGTCTCCCAAGTAGCTGGGATTACAGGCGTCTGCCACCACGCCTGGCTAATTTTTTATGTTTTTGGTAGAGACGGGGTTTCACCATGTTGGCCAAGCTGGTCTCGAACTCCTGACCAGAAGAGATCCACCGTGGCCTCCCGAAGTGCTGGATTACAGGTGTGAGCCACCACATCTGGCCAGAGATATAGTTCAGTTTTAAGAAAAAAGGCAAACTACTGAACTTGAAGAAACAAATGTGCACTTGATAACTGATGTAACAATTACAGCAGGTGTCCCCAAACTATAGCCCATGGGCCGCATGCAGCCCCCTGAGGCCATTTATCCGGCCCCCTGCCGCACTTCAGGAAGGGGCACCTCTTTCATTGGTGGTCAGTGAGAGGAGCACAGTATGTGGCGGCCCTCCAACGGTCTGAGGGACAGTGAACTGGCCCCCTGTGTAAAAAGTTTGGGGACGCCTGAATTACAGTGTGCTGTGTGGAGGATACAAAATTACAATTCCATTAATGGACTACATGTTTTTGTTACTTTTCGCCCTTGGAGATAGTTTCCTAGTTGAAGTTAAAAAGATTCCTACTGTTCCTTATCTTAGAAGAAAACCTTTTTTTATTTCTGTACAAACTTAAGTTTTCACTTTAATATGACACCACCATGTAAGTTCTCTCACAATATCTGTGTCTTGTAGAGTCGTAAAGTGTTAAGTAGAATAACACACCAGTGTGGTACTCAGTGAAAGGTGGTGTCTGGAGAATCAGTGGTTTCTGGAACTCTGGACCGTCAACCAGGAAGTGTTGAAGTTACTGAAAAGTTAAAGAGCACGGGTAAAAGCATGGGCAGAGCAGAGATTGAGGCGATCTATGTCCATGACAAAGGAAGCACCCTAGGAAGCTTCCAGCTATAGCAAGAGGACAAAACTCAGTGTACATTTTATCTGGATCACTTTTGGAGCACTAAAGCAGACCCAACTTTGTGCTAGCATACATGTGCTCAGGAGAGTCTGATTTTAAGGCTGACTTCACCCCACTGCTCTTGTGTTCCAGAACCGTCAAGGGACATCACCTACCAGATCCAAGCTTTGCCAGCTTAGCTTTCCTCATGATCAGCTCCTATCTGTCAGCCATCAGTTCTTCCCACATGCCCCAGTGCTCTTCACACCTTCATGCCTGCAATGCTTTCCTGTGCAGCGTATCTTGGAGGTCCCCCTCAATGCTCCACTTCCCTTCCAACTCCTTCAAAGATTCAGTCACACATGAAATTTGGCATTTTAGTAATATACTCACAGGAAGTACGTGAGTGTATTACTACCTCACCTTCACTAGCCTGGAGAAAAGGCTATTTTCAGGCTGTTGTGCAGCTGAGCCAAGTCTTCCTGCTGTCATTCACCCTGCTGCTCTTGGCTAGCTGTCATCACAGCCTTCTGGATGATATATTCATTGAGGGGGCCAACCGTATACAAAAAAATATGGGTTTGCTGAAATTACTCCTAGATTTCTAGATGAGTATGTAGCCTTTTCTGCTCCCAAAGCTCTGGCATGTAGTTTGAGTCAATCTGAGCTCTGTATAACAGGTGAAGATATCATATTAGTTTGCAGACTATCAATAGGGGAAATAGGGTGAAAACAGTTATGGTGGGCGGCACTTTAAAAATGGATATTAAACTACCACAGTCTTGAACAAACATCTTTATTTAAGAAATCAAATAAATAGGGTAAAGATGATGGTAGCAATTTCACAAGGATAAAAGATAAAGCTTAGAATTGCTCAAAAGTTAGTCAGAATGGAACAAAATTGTTCATAAGCTCCCAATTAGCAAAGGTTGTATTACTTGCTTTTCAATGGACATTCACTATTTTACGGTAAGATCTACTTATAGGAATAAAGAAACCATTCCCAGCCCCCTCTGGTGTATCACCTAAAAGGCTGAGACAAATGTTAATGTAATCCAAGCTTTTCTTTGACAACAATCCAAAAAATTGCCTTACAACTTTTTATAAGTACTGGTATCAACAGTTTGAAGGAAAGGAAATACAAGAATATAAGTGACAGAAACAATGAACTTCACTGTGGCCTGCAACTGCTCCCATCCTCTTATTCCACAAACATGGATCCAGGTTCTCACATTATAGCAGGATCACTATTCTTAGCCTCTGGCAGAAGCAGACATGTGACACTCAGCACTGCACAAGTGTTTCTTTGGCTTCTTGAGTAGTGCTGTGTATACTGCCTATACATTTTTATAACATCTCTAAATGTATAAATAAATTAACATTTATTATGTGCTATCACATTTCATTCCCAACTGCAGAATATTTTAGTTTTAAATATTTAGCTTTCAATCTATCTACCAAATCTTGACTATGACATTTGTTTTGAGATTGTTACATTAAGATCAACCTATCTGGGCTGGGTATGGTGGCTGACACCAGTAATCCCAGCACTTTGGGAGGCTGAGGCAGGAGAATCACTTGGAGTCGGGAGGCGGAGGTTGCAGAGGGCAAAGCGCCATTGCACTCCAGCCTGGGCAACAGAGCGAAACTCCATCTCAAAAAAGCAAAAGATCAACCTATCTGAATTGGGCAAGTCAAAAGCTTATTCCCAATTTTTAAATAAAAATACTTATTTTTGATAACGAGCTCTTTATAAATAACACTGTTCACAAGGAAATACCAATTGATACGTGACATGAGACAGAATGTATGATTTTTAAATATAAAAGGAATTTCATTAGGTTTAGATCAGCTGAGACTACACAAAAGTTTTCCAGGCTATTTAATCAAGTAACTTACAATGTACACATTCCTGAGTATACACCATTGTGGTGACATCATTTGTTTCAGAATTTCCTGCATTCAGCTTAAAAGGTGCTTCTTCCCAAGAAACTGTACTTTTCTGTCAAATGCACTTGATCGAATAGGAGAATTGGGTTCATAAAATGGATTCATTGAAAACTAGGAAAGAAGAAAGTATTAGTCAAGTAAAAAAGCTGACAAACCATAGGTCTCTGGAAGGAAATAATTTTAAAGTTTTAAGTTAAAAACCATCAAAGACATTCAAAAGTCTAAAGACCACCTTTTGACGTTTCATTGAAAATGCTGCATTGTTAAATACTAACATCCTCTTAAGGAAATTTTTATTTCGGTGTTTTGGTTTTGAGAAGTACCTGTGGCAAAACTAATAGCAGTATGATAAATGTTGCTTGTGTAAGTTAATGTTCAGGATTTACCCTGTGTGTGAAATACTCATATTCATTATAAATAAATGGATTAATCTGTATGGCCCTTTGGCTACATAAAGCAAAAAAGTCTGCCATGAGCTCAGAATTCAGAAAAAGCTACTCTTGTATGATAATCTTTTAACAATCAGGTTTTTAATATTCTCCTTTAACACAAAGCTGCTAAATGATCAGCTTCTCAGCCAAAGTAATCAGTGT